CATAAACCGACTTTTGATCTCACATATTTAGAGCAATTTATGAGAATTATTCCTTGTCTTTTCTTAAAGTTGCTTTTAAATTCTATAAAATTTTTGTAGGGATTGTTTTAATTTTCTAATTGTTATTTTTTGTTTTGAAAGAATTGTCTTTAAATTCTTATTTTCCACTTGCAACTTCCTGCCAGAACGCGATTTCAGTTTCGCGCTTTATGAAAATCAAGTAGAACTAGTATTTAAGGGGAATTTTAGTCACTTCCGTAGACGAGCTCAGTTCTCAGTAAAGCGTGTTCTGTCTTCGGGCCACGTAGCTGCTTTAACTCTTTGAAGACCATAACGCCCCAGACGGCCTTCCATTCAAACGACCAAAACCGCCCGAAACGGCCGAAATTCCGATGTTGTTTTGTTCCCTTCCCTGAGGTATGCAGTAGCAGGTGCAGCTTCCCCAAATGCATTGTATCAGTTTATTACAGACAGCTTGTCCTAAAGGGATGTATTTGCTGTTTCTTATCTTTATTGGTTAGGAAATAGACAGGATGCCATTTGAAATCTTCACTCTTCTTTGTGCGTCAATGGATGGGGAGGGGAGGAAATTACTGTGAATCTCGAAAACCTTTTCGGGAGGTTCCGTATTTTATGCGTACAGGTTAGCGAAAACTTCGCTTTTCAAAGAGTTAAGCCTATCTTTTTGAGTTCGACAATAGTCTTGCATGCCTATTAGTGATCGCCGGTAAGGTTTAATACCGGACAATTCGGTTAGCTATTTTTGTAAGCTTCAGCTAAGGTTTAGCTAGTTTGAATTAGCTTAGTGCCTTATTTTCTATGTAAAGCCGAAATGGAGGCTTCCCTGTAAGCACGAGAAGGGGCTGACAGTATTATTTCCGTGAGTGAAATAAAAGGGTATTTTAATCCTTCATTGGACTTACTCTTATACTTGTAAGAAGACCAGCGAACAGTCGCTAGATGTACATTCTAATAGTCTAGACACTTACCTTCTACAGAGGCTGTTCGCATATTTTCTAGACAATTTTGGTAAGCGGTAATAAAAACTCGTTTGCTGCAAAAGAAGTAATTGCAATTGTACTATGTTTTTAAAAGTCAAAATTATCGTCTGTGGATTGAAAGTTTTGTTTTTATTCAAAATGGTGAATTTAACAACAGTGGTTCGAAGGCTACATTGACGCTCTTTCCGAAGAGAAATATGCATACTCCGTTATCCAAAAACGATGTGAGAGTCATGGTTTTGTGATATCTAAAGCGTCGATAGGTAATATCATCAACAAGAAAGGAAACAAACGTCAAATTGGAGTCTCAAGTAGGACAAAAATTCCAAACAAGTATCCAAGGAAAAAACGGACATCTTCGACTATTGCAAAGGTACGTTTGTTAATGTTAAGAGAAAAATCCCCCTAGTCAAAGGGCAGTCGCAAAATCATTAAAATGCTCGGTGTCCACTGTAAACAAAATGATAAACGTTGATTTAAATCTTAAGAAAGCGAAAAAACGCAATGTGCATCGTCTTCTTCCAAAGCATAGCGCTCGACGCAGGACACGCTGCAGAATTCTATATGAGAAACACTTATACAAAGAAAAATAGAAAACAATTCTCACAATAGATGAAGCAAGGGTGTATTTAAATGATTGTTTATTATCATAAAAGGGCAGAAAAAAAATTAAGTACATGGTTCAAAGAATCGAAAGAAAGTTTTTCTAAGGGATTCATGATTGGTGCTGATTTTTCTTATAATGCCAAGTTAAAAATAAAGAGAGTGCAAAAAAATGTCAAGATTAACTCCAAATACTATTAGGAACATATTTTATCGCCCATTTGTCTGAATGAAATACCATCGCTTTACCCACAGTGCCATCCATCTGTGAGACTCCATCAGGACAAATCTAGTAGTCACACATCAAAATCCACTGTAAAGTTCCTAAACGAAATGGAACCAAAAACTGGTATCAAGGCCATACCCTTCACTGATATCCCTACTAAATCTCACGATGTGTAACCTATGGAATTTTGTGCTTTCGAACTTTTTAAAACTGCATTATCCAAACGTTGTCCCAAAACCCTAACAGGACTCTGGAAAGCTGTTCGGGAGGAATGGGATAGAATACCTCTTCTGCCACTTCAAAAGGCATTATTATCCTGGAAATCGCGGTGTCGAAAGATAGTTTAGAATAAGGGATGTCAAATAGAACATTTAAAACACAAGAATTTTATGTAATTTAGGTTTGTGAGTACAATATACTTCGTCTAAAAAATGTGTGAACAGCCTCTGTGGTAGCCAAGGACACATAAATTAACTAGCCTCATCACGATACTCTCCCAGACCAAAACGTTAGCATAGCTTATAAGTTAGGATGTTAATCTTACTCATGAGCTTACTGGCGCTTGCAACGTTTTATTTGTCGCGATAATTGTGAAAATGTGAAGGAAACACTGAGAGGTATTGGTTATGGTTGGTAAATTGGTTAAATCGTAAGATGTTAGAATGTGGAGCAAGTATTCTCCGTTTTATCACTATCAGGAACACGAACTCGACAAGTGGACAACAGTTACGTGGTACGATTACGCTCTTGACATAAAAAAAAAAAAAAAAAAAAAAAAAAAAAAAAAAAAAAAAAAAAACTGATGTGTACACCACATGACTTTCTTGTACGGAATATTAAGTTATACGCATTTTTTCTTGCATTTTATTTAAACTTTTAAACTTATTGGATTGAATTAAATCTACTACTTCGCCGACAGCGCATAAACCACAATAGAATAAATGCATTCTTTAAAATTCACTCTAGTATTTGTTTACCATAGCGACACTCTGGCGCTAGATTCACTTAACAGTATTACATTTCGTTCATATTATAACTCAGAACGCACAAAATTTATATCATTTAAAGAATTATCTAATCGTTGCCACATGTTCTATTCAAATACTATAATAAAGCTAGAACGATGTATAAAAGAAATTAAGCAAACAAAACAGAAAAGAAACAGTTTTTCACAGACGATTGAGTATTTCTCATTCAATTAATTCAGTTCTCACATCGCGACAAGGCAAAAATACACAAAAATTCAAAATATCTGCATTAAAAATTAAGAAGTAAATTTTAAACGCTTATTTCCTCGAAAAAATTCCAGAAAGGATTAAGTGCGATTTACATGACAATAATAAATGAAGGCGTTATCTTTGTTGTTGCGAAGCTAAGTTTCTCTAAATTGGCAACAAATTTACTACTCTGCTGTTTCAAATGTAAACAAGCAATGGCCACCACGAAAAAAATTATTAGGCTTAGCGGCACTTAAACAACTTCAAAATTGTTGAAAATTCTAAAAATTATTCAATACAGATTTACTAAAGGCATAAAAACCTTAATCGGAAGATAAGAATGTCATAATTCAATGATTTTCAAAGCAAAAAATTTACAGTTTACAAACAAATAAGAGTAAAGAATCTGAAATCACTGAGACGGGCAACAGAGTGGATATATATATATATAGAAATATATATGTATATACGTTTGGCGCGGCCGATTGCAACCAAAATACGAGGTGCACATCTACATGTTATAGCAGTCCTATATACAAAATTTAAACGTTCTGAGGCTACTCGTTTTTGAGTTATGCGAGATACGTACGTATGTTCGTACAGAAGCCACCAAAAATTCTCTTCAGAATTCATTTTAAAGCAGTTTTATAATTTTTTTGGAGGAAACGAGTCTTTTGTTCTGTCCTCACGTACAGATATCACGCAAAAACATCGTTAAATTGCATTCGAAAGCGATCAAAATGGATTTTTTCGTTGAAATATGCTGCCTGAAACCTTTCGCGATTATAATACTTCCTTTTTACTTCGTACAAGGAAGTAAAAATTGTACATTTAATACAGCTTCGCTAACACTCAGCTTATTTTGTGATCCACATAGGATATTCAATAAAAAATTTTGGAAATTCGATTATTTACTCATTTTATTTGTTTGTTTGTTATTTCTTCTTGTTATTTCTTTGTTTTTCAGCAGAAGATAAGACATAACTTTGTGTTTGATTATCATGAGATATTTTTCCATGTGAGTTTATGTTTCTGAAAAGTTTTAGCTGTTCTTATGTTTTAAAGTTTGAAGCTCAGAACGACTTTAAAATTCACATGCCAAAAAGCAAGTCACTCTGTTAATTGTTACATTTTCTTCTTGTTTATTTCTTCTTAAGTGCTAAATGAGAGAATTAAGATTTACGTATAGGATGTTATCTAACTTCAGGGGAGAAGAGAGATAATTAAAAAACTCAACACATTTACTTTAATCCCCAAACTTTTTACGAAACAAAATCCCCCAATTCTCCTAAGATAGCTAGAATCTTGTTCCTCAAACACATATCGGGAATGGTTTCACCCACTGGCTACTTAGTTTCGTTAGCGAAAGCGCTGTCTAAGGCACACCATAGGCAGTAAACCGATATTGCACCTGCAAGAAAGGGGTAAGTCTCACACAAACAACCAAACTGTGCATCTAGATTTCGGACAAACACTCAGTCTCCGCTAACCACTACACAATCCAAAGTGACTTAAATTAACTGATGGCGACAAAAATAAGGATATTTGTTTCTTCTGTGGAAACGAAATTTAAATATTGAATACCCAGAGTTACGCGGAATAATTGACCTGATTCCAAATGGCTTTCGTTTTGAAATTTACAAGTATAGGAAGGCAAATAACATATGAAACTATAAGGCTCCCACCTTCTTGGCGTGTCTTCGCAGTGTAATGGTTAACACACTGGGCCGCTATTCCAGAGGTTCGTGGTTCGATTCCCGGCGAAGGCGATCGCTTATTTTTCCTCTTGCCTGCTTTTATAAAATATCTAATGTCTCTACACTGGCGCCCGAACTAAAAGGGTGTTGGATGAGGATTCTCCTCAGCCAGGATTTGGCGATTGGGTCCCCTAAAAACCCCAGTCGCCCTTTAAAAGGGGGAGTATATAAGGTATTTCTCCCACCTTCTTGACGTGCCTTCGTGGTGTAATGGTTAGCACACTGGGCCGATATTCAAGAGGTCCGTGGTTCGATTCCCGGCGAAGGCGATTGATTATTTTTCATCTTGGCTGCTTCCAAAAAATACCCGATGTCTCTACAAAACGAAATTAAAATAATCCAAGTTTTATTTGTAAGTGTCTCATTTAGCTTCCCTCCCACCTTTAGATGCAGGATTCCGGTTCAGACGATAATCACGTTCATTCCATGCTGCAGAATAGTCTTTTTATTATCACCATAAGCACAAGTTTTTAGATCACATAAGCGTGTGGGCAATCAGAACACATCTAAATAACATAAAAAGAAATGATCGTTTTGCGTGTCAAAACCTAGAAACCTGGCTATAAATTGAGCAATAGTAATAGAGCCATCGGGACCAATATGTAACCGCGTATGAAGAGAGTTACTTCGTTAAGGTACCATTATGTTGTCTATTACCAGAGCAAATGAAAGCATAATAGTTCAATGAAACATTAAAACTTTGGCTGTTTTTTTGTCGTTTGATACATACCAATTAATGCGCGAATAGATATCGAGTACTATATTGGCATTATGTCCTGTTCATACAAGAGACAGTAACTGATCTCGCGATTTTCTTTTGCGCACTGCAAACAATAATTTACGCTTCAGAATTTAATATATTTCTCCCAATAATGGCCGAAAAAGTTGCCAAAAATAGAGTACAGCAAAGCTTATTTTGTAGCTTGTACAGTCATTAAGTTTTCTTACGCTGGAGACGTGAAAAATATGCAGTGCTCTTTCCGGGAATCGAACTTGAACCTTTCGAATACGCGCCGAGTATGCTACAGTTACATCACGCAACCGTGCTGGAAGGAGCGAGAAAATACCTTATATACTCCCCCCTTTTAAAGGGGTCTTGGGATTAGGGGACCCAATTACCAAATCCAGGTGGTGATGGATTATTGTCCATCACCTTTCAGTTCCGACGTTAGCGCAGGGTCATTAGGTTATTTTGAACCAAAACACGTGAAAAATGTGCAGTGACCTTGTAAGGATCCTAAGTTTTACTAACTTTTTTTTTTATTTTAAAACTGTTCTATCACTTCTTATTTTATACTTCCGGCCAGAATTAAATGCTTTAACTTGTTTATGCAAATTGTCTTGCTAACGCCCAAGTACTTAAGTTGTGGCTTTTTGCCAAGAGAAAGAGAGAAGGAGTTTTAGGAAGCAAGCCGCTTGCCACTGTAGTTTTACGAGTTTTCACTCGGTTGCTGATTGCCTTTAAGGCCAGAGGATTAGCCCTCTTGATATTTGCAAACGTATTTGTTGTAGTTTAAGCAGCTCGGCGTACTACATACGTACCTTTTTTAAATAAAGGCCAGTCTTAGTGCTAGGCATTTGTACACTAATTCAAAGTTAGCTTTTAGTTAGAGTTTTAGTTAGTAGTTTTCATATTCTTACGTTCAGACCACAAGTGGTTACTCTGTGTGTTCCGAAGTTCGGAAATACCTGTAAAGTATTGAAAATAAAGGGTTTCGTATACCCTTCCTGCTTGTGTTGTCTACTTCACACCTTCTTGAACATAGCTTGAGTAAGCTCCTTGTTCCTATTCAGGATCATTCATGTTTCCAAAGCAAATCAAAGAAGCACAAGTCCTGACAACCTCCCGGGGATACTAACACTTGAGCTCTCGAATACGCGTCAAGTGTCAAGTGCGAACCTTTACACCACGAAAGCACGGTGGAGGAAAATACCTTATATACTCTCCCTTTTAAAGGATGGTCTGGGAATAAGAGGAGCCAGTCGCCAAATGGCGGTGGTGACGAATTATCGTCAACCACCTTTTAATTCGGGCGCCACTTGTAAAGTAATTAGTTATTTTTAAAGGTTAAAACTGTGAAATATTCTCGCCGGGACTCCAACACTGGATCTCTCGTGTAGGCTTCGAATTACGGAACAAAGGCATGCGGAAAGGAGAAAGAAAATACCTTTTTTTACTCCTATTTTTAAGGGGCAACTGGAGTTTAGGGAATCCAGTCGCCAAATTCTGGTTGTGACGAATTATCGTCCACTATAGTTCAGGTGCCACTGTAGAGTCATTAAGATTATAGCGATGCAGGAAACGTTAAAAATGTGCAATGCCCTCACCGGGATTCGAACCTGGACATTTCGAATACGCCCCGTGTGTGCTTACCGTTACACCCCGCAGGCATGCGTAGAAAAGGGAGAAAATACCTCTTAAACTTTCCTACATTTATACCAAATATGAAATCTCTCTGAATAAGTTATATGTTCCGAAGCCAAAACACAAAACCTTAACCTATTCATTACGTTTATATTATTATAAGATAATTTCTCGCTCTCTAAAATTACATTAAATGCTCTTGAGATTAAATTTTTACTATCCATAAATCCATCTGATTTGAAATGAATTATGCTGTCTAATTAAAAAAATTTAAATCATTAAATGTTAGAACTGTTTGCAAAGAAACTACGGAAAACTACCGAGGATTTGAAGTTGATTTTAAAGTTCAATAATTAATTAAGAATCAACAAGATAGATAACTGTAGTTAACGCGTGGACAGACGGATGTTTCCTACAGTTTATATCTCTAAATCCACGTTTCTTTCTTTTTCGCTTACTTTAATGAATCTGGAATTTAAAAGTATAGATGCATTTTGATTTTTGTAAAATGATGATTTAAGTTAAGCTGTTGCTTGGTACAGAAGCGCTGCGAATTTTTATTTACATTTAAAAGATTAGATTATTCTTAAGAGCATTAAGAGATTAAGATGTCTTCAAATTTATCTCTATATAATAATTTTGAAAGCTCGTACCTTTATTTCGGAATTTTTAACTACTGTGAGACTTATTTCAAAAATAAGGTAAGATAATGGCAACGGAATTGAAAATAATGACTTTAAATATACACCACTCTCTTCTTTGGGCAAAGTTCCTGAGTAATATGTGTGTGTGTGTGTGTGTGTGTGTGTGAGATTATGGCAAAGCCTCAAGGGCTATGTGCCTAAGGGGAGGGATGCCTTCTTGGAGGACTTTCTAAAGGAAACTGGCTCGTATACATGTTACACATGGAAAACCACAAAAACGCCCATGCAGCCAGCCCGTTCGCGGGATTCGAACCTCGGACCGAACTACCAGTTTTCAGCGTCTTTACCGCTCGGCCGCTGGTGGGCCTCCTGAGTAATGTATTATGGCACACATTCGCTAGTTCTAGCTGAATGATCGAATGAATGCTGAGCGCTGAATGCGCGGCTTAATCTCGAAAGGGATGATGCTGCTTTCGAGCACAATTCCACATTTATACTGATATCCTTTATACTCCATCTTTATCACATAATTTTTAAATTGTTTCAAGAGTAAGGCGATGTAATTATGGAGGACTTGACAAATTGAAATATTTATTTTAGGGCGAAAACAAATTCATGTGAATTTAAGGCAATGGTAATACATTACTGCTGTTACTACTATTTATAATGACTATCTAGAAAACAATAATCAAGACCCAAACACATGATTATTATATTCATACACCGACTACCAATAAGTATTTGGACACCTGTGATAGAAAAGAAAAACTAACTTTATTCAAAATCAATAGTTGGTAGAGCCTCCACGAGAGGTAAATACAGCGTGGACCCTCCGGGGCATAATTTCAACAAGTCTTTTGTATGACAGCTAGTGGTATTTTCTTCCACTCGGCTTGGAGAAGGCATAGAAGTTCCTTCACCGACTTTGCACGGGTAGTGCACCCCTGAATTCGGCGATGCAACTCGTCCCAGAGGTTTTCGATAGGGTTCAGGTCTGGACTCTGGGCAGGCCAGTCCATTCGATGAACTCCATTGGCACCATACCAAGCCTTGGTTAACGTCGAAACATGACAACTGGCATTGCCGTCCTGAAAGTAACAGGGGTACAACCCCGTAAAACTGCTACAACGTAGGAAGTGCATTGTCATCCAAAATAGTGCAATAAGCATCGGAGTTGAGCTTTACCATGAATGGGGACCAAGGGCCCCAGCCCATACCAGAAGAAACACCCCCAGACCATAATTCCACCTCCGCCGAACTTGACTGTTGGCACAATGCATTCTGACAGGAGGCGTTCTCCAGGTAGACGCCAGACCCAGATCCTGCCATCCGAACGGTAAAGGGTGAACCTTGATTCGTCACTCCACAGAACCCGTTTCCACTGATCTACGGTTCAATTTCGATGTGCTTTGCACCACATTAACCGAGAAGCGCGGTTGGACTTTGTGATCAAAGGTTTATGGGCAGCAGCACGACCATGAAAACCAAGCAGATATGCTTCCTTATGGAAGGTATTTATTGAAACAATACTCCCGGATGCATATTTCACAAGTGCACATACGTGTAGCCACCGAGGGTGTGGTTTCGAGGATGGACGAATGGGCATCCAGTAATATTTCTGTCTTGTCACATGACCTTTCGCGTGCTAAAGATTTAAGCAAAATGGTTGAGAATATTTTGCTACGTAATTTTTCGTACAAAGTAATTAAAGCATCTTCGATCTCTTCCGAAAATTTTCATTGTGAAGTTAGATCAAATATAAGCAAATGTGAAGATTTCACTACCTGGTTGAAAGAATTTAAAATAAATGGAAACACAATTTGGAAACTCCGCAAAAATATCCATGCGAAATATTACTTAATAAGTGGTAAATAAGATGAAGAAAGAAATACGTGATAAACATCTGAGTTCAAATGCTATCTTTACATAAAACTACGCATATGAGAAAAATATTTACACCAATTATATATGTAAATAGAAGTCAGCACTTTTTATTGCAGTCTATATGTAAAATTATTTTTAAAAAACTATACACTCGAATTTTCTTAATTTACAGGTGTTAATTAAATGCATAAGTATTCGAGGCTAATTACAGCTTATAGAGTCATTTTCTCGATGTAAAGAGCGATAATATGCCGTGAACATCAATCCAAATATTAATGCGTGATAAAAATTGCGAAAGTGAAATGTCAGCGATTAATTAAACTCATGAAACGAATGCTCTACGAATTTTTTTTCTACTACGCCATACACATAATTA